ATTTCCCACCCTCCAAAAAAAGAACATAAGTAAGATCATCATTACTGAATGAAGGGGAACCTCCTTCTTCCAAGGAAAATATAAACTTTCCCAGAAGACACTGCACAAACTTCCAGTTTGAACAGGGAAGTATTCTGGGCAGAGGACAAAATGGACAGAGTGATGGTAGGATTGACTCTATAATATCAGTTGGGCCCAAATTACAACTTGTGTCTTTGATTTAAGGAGCTCTGGTGGCGCAGTGGTTAAAGCATTCAGTTGCTAACCAAAAGGTTGGTGGTTCAAAACCACCAGTGGCTCTGTAGGAGAAAGATGTGCCAGTCTGCTTCCGTAGAAATTTACAGCCTTGGAAACCCTATGGGGTTGCTGTGAGCTGGAATCAACTCAATGGCAGTAGGTTTGGTTTTTGGTCTTTGTTTTATCACTTAGAATTTCCTTTAGTCTGTGTCTGCTAATAGTATATTTCTAAGTTTTTGTTTTTTGAGAATGTATTTCTATTTCATTCTTGAAGGATATTTCTGTTGAATATAGAATTCTAGATTGGCATTCTTTTTCTTTCAGCATACTGGTATTATTCCATTGTTTTTGGCTTCCATTGTAGCACTTGAGATATCAACTGTCAGACTGTTTTTCAATTGATGTGAATGTATTTAGCTTTTACTATTTTCATTTTAACTTTTTTGTCTGCAGTTACATTATTCTAGATGTGGAATATATATATATATAACATGCACACATACATACACACCCGTACCCATTTATATCCTGCCTAGGATTCTTTGGACTTTTATAGTTTGTGACTTCATATTTTTTCACTTCTGGAAAATTCTCAGCCATTATGTCTTCACATGTTGCCTCTTCACATATTGTTTCTGCACATTCTCTACCTCTCTTTTCCTGGGATTTCAGTTAACTGTGTGTAAGGCCTCACTATATCCCCTTTGTCTCTTACCATTTCTTATGAATTTTCCATCATTTTTTCGTGACTAATTTCTTTTGACATTTTCCAGTTCACTGATCCTGTCTTCATCTCTGTTTAGTCTGTTATTAAACCTATCCATTGAGTTCTTAATTTTGCTTATTGTATTTTCATTTTAAAAATTCCTGTGCGGTTCTTTTTCAAATCTGCTGTATTGCTCTTGTGGATTCTAGTTCCCTGCTGAAGTTTTCAAGATTTTCATGTTCCTCTTTGACTATAACAGGCATAGATGTTTTATGGTTATTGTTTGATAATTCCAGTATCTGGAAACTTTCTGTAACTGCTGTTTTTGCTGATTCTTGTTCATAAAATCTTATGTCTTCATGTCATTTTTTGGTGGTGTTTGGAAATTTTTCTGTAAGAATAATCTGAGAACTAGAATGATGTTATCCTTAGTGGTATTAATTAATCTTTTTTTTTTTTTTTGAGAGCAGATTCCCCACTGTCACCTTCATATTTTGTTTAGTAAGCATTAATTAATTGCTCATTTTAAGTTAGTCCTTTTTCTTAGATGCAAGGGATATATATGTTTTTGTTTTTTCAATAAATAAGTCGTTTGGAGCCACTTCTTTTTAATAAAGTGGATAACATAACTTTGTAATATGATTTTTGTTGTCATTTATGGTATTTTAAGGGCCTACTAATATTCTCCTCATACACCGTTCTTGGGTTGTTGAAAGCGTGAGCTGCTCTACTTGGGCAGTGCTTTTCTAGTGAAGTTGTCCTATGAACTTCCAGTTTACTTTCTTAACTCTACCACTAAATGCCACCTATATCAGAAATCCTCCATATCACAGTGCTCTTTTTCTTTATATAATACAGTGCCATTAGAGTCCCCTCTTAGGATTTCCTACACCTAGGCTATGGGGATCAGGATGGTAATTGTATAAATGTATTCTATATGTATTCCAGTTTACTCATAGAAATAATGTTCTAAATGATAGTTGATTTTTTTTTTTTTTTTTGACATATCCTGGTAAACTATTTCCACCATTGTCAGTCACTTCCTCTTTTGAAGAACTCTTGGAAAACTCACCGAGATATGAGAAAAGAGATAAGGAGATACTTGGAATTATTAATATTCTAGAGCCTAGAGGTGATACGTAGAGAGTAGGAATATTTTAGTTGCTATTTGAGCCAAGTAACAGGAGAAAGGAAGATTATCCTTCTTATTGATGTAGGTGTCAGCCAGGTATGACTAGGGAAATAATATCTTCACTGTACCCTTCAAAGACTTTTGAGGCATTAGTGAAGGCCAACATTACGGGATCTTTGTTGATATCTCCATCTGCTAAAAAAATACCAGAAGTGCTTATGATTCTGTTAGGCTTATAAGTACTCTAATCAACTTCATTGTGGATGAAACAGATTTTTTTTTGTAGGTTACTCTAGACTCAAACATTTTAAATATTGTTTCTGTGAAAAAATGTGTTCCAACTACTAAATAACAAGCTTATTTAAAAAATTGATCTGTTTAGAAGTGGTGGATTTTGTATAGATTAAAATTAGAGACTTAAGTATAGAAATATACATATAACCATACAACTTCTACGGCTATTGACTAATTAATATATTCTTCCAGAAAATATTATTGAATATCTACTATGTGGTAGGCACTATACTTGCTACATAAAGATCAAAGTTGGAAATATGAAACAATTAAAATCCTCTGTTGAAATTTTTATCAAATAATTATTGTGTACTACTTGTTTGACATTTCCACTTGATGTCCAATAGACACAAACTCTTGTTGGGCCTCTGAAAAATCTGCTCTACCCCCATCCCAGTTAATGAATGGTAACTCCATCCTTCTAATATAGGACAGAAATGTCGGCATTGTCCTTGACTTTTCTCTTTTTTTCTCACATCCCCATCTTATTGACTTTCTTTAAAATATATAAATAATCCAACCACTTCTTCCCACTTTCTGCTGTCATGATGGTCTACTGTCGTCTGCTGAATGGATTTTTGTAGTCATATAGTATTCCTGATTTCACCCTTGTCTCTTTGCAGTCTGTGCTTAACATAACAACCATGACAATCCTGTTAAAACGTAAGTCAAATCAGATCATTTCTTCTTAACTCTTTCCATTGTCTCCCCTTCCCCCCATTTCACTCATAGTAAAAAGCCAAATTCTTACAATGTCCTGTCCCTACCTTTTTTGACTGGATCTCCCATTACTCCTTCTCCTCACAGACTCACTCAACTCCAATACCATTGGCTTCTTTGTTGATTAAACTTAACAGGCTATCTTCTGTTTTCGGGTTCTTGTACTTGCTCTTCCTCCCTATAATGTTCTCCCCCAGGTATCTAGTTTTGATTCAAATGTCGTAATGTTTGAGGTGCCTGCCCTGGCTACCCTTTTTAGAATTGAAATTGCTCTGCCCTCTGCACAGCTCATCACTCTTACCTGCTTTTTTTTTCATAGCACTTATCACCTTCTAATATGCTATCTAATTTACTTACTTATTATGTTTATAGTCTGTGTAACTCACCAGAATGTATCTTCCACAAGGGCAGGGATTTTTGTTTCCTTTGTCCATTGTTTTATCCTCTGCACCAAGAAGAGTGCCTTACACATAATAGATGGTTAATAAATATTTGTTGAATGAGGGGATGAATGATAACTGCACAAAAGGACTTCTCCCCCCAATATTCTTAACACAAAGTAGCAAGTAAAAGAAGAATAAGGAAAACAAGTCTTTATGTTATTATCAAAAGCCTTGTGCTAGAGCTTTCCTTTCTGTATGGGCCAAAATACTGTCTTTGCTCATTCTGTCATCGAGAATTGATTGTTCATTCTATTTCTTCTTTCTTTCTCTGCTGGTCAGTCTGTTAAAATCCTTTAACATTCCACATTCAAAGACCCTTTTGTACTTTTTAACAGTACCGAAGTGTTCTGGGCAGACTGCTTTCTAATCCCGAGAGCCAGGACTGTCTATTTCCCTGAACACTTAGGACCATTTAGTAAAGAAGAGTGTAACAATGTATACCCAGGACACAAACTGTCACAAAAAGGGTCTGTTTCCTAGAGTTCCTTGTGTGTACAAGAGACCCAGCCATAGATAGGGATGCTTCCTCAATAACTATAATGCAACATAATTTTCACTCCCACTACTGCTTTTGATACCATAGTTCAAATACGTCAAAAAAGGATTCTTTTAGGGCACCAAGTTCCCTTGATAAATTTTTAATGTTACTTGGATTTCTCAAAGGTCCTTGGTGTATAAATGGATGCATTTTTCACTAGTCTTCAAAGGTAAAAGTAGCCAAAAGGAGTATCTGAAATTATTTTATAGTTAATGAGTCAAATAATAACTAATAAATAGAGACAATATATAAAAACTGCATTTGTATAAATCTGACACAGACAACTCAAGTTGGACAGTTTCTAGAAGCCCATCTAGCCTTCAAAGTATTAACTGTGGTTCCAAAGAATTATCATAAAAGGCGTTTATTTAAAAGCTCAAATTGAAAATCTATCATATAGGAATAGCTGAAATTCTGCACCATGTATCTGCATCTTGATGGCTGTAGTGAATCCCTACCAGAAGTGCCCATTCACATGATTTTAGCATAGTTCCCTGTAAGCGGTAGTGGGAGGAACATAGGAGTGTTATTCTGCACAGTTAAAAAACATTGGGAACAACATATAGGTAGTGTTAAACATTTGGAGAACTTTTACTATGGAAGATCAATAAAGCTTAATTCTCTGTAAAACTAGATACTTTTTAACGTCTCTTCTGATGCTGAAATGCTATGATTTTATATTTCAGTGTAAGTGATGTATTTGGAAGCTATTTTCATGGAGGTACAATTGTGGTATAACCCAAATAGTGAGCTGTTCTACAATAGCTGAAATAATGTTTTATATTTATTTAAAATAAATATTAATGTTCATTTCTCTCTACTTTGTCAGCTTATGTTCTGGCATTTAAAATATTCATGTTGGTTAAAGGCATGACTTGCATTTATGATTTTTCAAAATGAGTAATCACTTTTTCTTAATGTTTATTATAGAGGTTCCAGAAACTTCAGCAGTTGCAGTGCAGAGGACTTTGAAAAGTTAATTTTAAATAAAGGAGGAAACTGCCTTCTTAATATTCCAAAGCCAGATGAAGCTTATAGTGCTCCTTTCTGTGGTAATAAATTGGTGGACCCTGGGGAAGAGTGTGACTGTGGTACTCCAAAGGTCAGTTGTTTAATTTTTAATTTTTGCTTTGTGAATTTACCACTGAAATTTGCAAAAAATAAAATTGCTTGCTTTTGGCAATCTGGTGTAGGAGCTAGAGTAAAATTTAGTGGCAAAACGAGGGCTGGTGTTTTCCTTGTGTGGAGATGTTCTTTGGATTGGTCACTTCCTCCTCTCCGGGACGTAAGTAACGGTGTTATGGATTATGAAGTCAAGAAAAGGGCCACGTTTATTCTAGTTTTGCTACCTTCTACTACTTCTGCCATTTCTGTTAAGGTTACTGGCGTATTTATTTACTTAAAAGAATTGGTCAGTTTTTCACGTGGCTTTTGTAAACTTTTACTATTCTGACACTGCCATTGCAATAATATTTATTCAGTTGGACTCATTTTAATGATAAATTGAAGCTGGCCCATCCTCCAGAGTCCTACAGTGCTACTCAGATTACTTTTTTCCCTTTATTAATTTCCAGTTTACCTACTGATCTCTGGCTTTACTGGATTTGTTACCTACACTTTTGCCATGGTTTCCATGCCTATACTTATTATTATTGGTCTGTATCTTAGCCATACTCCTTTCAAAATGGCCTACCTAAAGGACTTCCTGCCTTTAGACCTTGCATTAAGTTGTTAAATATTTTTCAGTTGAATGTAAGCTGCTTCTTCTTCCTTAACCTGACTATACCTGGCTTTTGCCAGCTGACATCATTCTCCATAGAAGGCAGTACGTGTCTTGTGATAAAATTGTGATGTCATTATTGTACTCTTGCTGAATGTCAGAGATGTCTGCTAAATGTTTTACATGGTATAATCCTCACAATAACCCTAAGAGATAGGTATTGTTAATAGTCTCATTTTTCAGATGAGGAATCTGAAGCCAAAGGAGGTCGTATTTAATTTCTAAATTAAGTTAATACTGTTGTTGTTACGTGCCGTCAAGTCAGTTCCAACACGTAGCGACCCTGTGTACAACAGAACAAAACACTGCCCAGTCCTGTGCCATCCTTACAATCGTTGCTATGTTTGAGTCCATTGTTGTAGTCACTATGTCAGTCCATTTCATTGAGAGTCTTTCTCTTTTTCACTGACCCTCTGCTTTACCAAGCATGATGTCCTTCTCCAGGGACTGGTCCCTCCTGATAACATGTCTGAAGTATGTGAGACAAAATCTTGCCATCCTGGCTTCTAAGGAGCATTCTGGCTGTACTTCTTCCAAGACAGATTTGTTTGTTCTTCTGGAAGTCTATGGTATATTCAGTATTCTTTGCCAACACTGTAATTCAAATACATCAATTCTTCTTCGGTCTGTCTGTTCCATTGTCCAGCTTCCGTATTCATTTTCTGATATATGGTTCCCAAATATTTTCACCCATTCTATAGGTTGTCTCTTTACTTTATTGACAAAGTCCCTTGATCCAGTTGATTTTTGAGTACAGCTACTTTATTAATTCTTATATATAGCTTCTTTTGGATTTTATTTCTAACAGCCTTATCATCTACAATAATGCCAGTTTAAAAATTTTTTTTCTTCCTTTCTCATCTTTAAACCTTTTGTTAATTTTTTTAGTTCTAGTTTTGCATTGTACTTTTGGTAAAGTGTTGATTGGAAGTGGTGATAGTAGTATCCTTATCCCAAAAGGAAAGCTTTCGGTTTCAGTGTCTCAATATTTGGGAGGTGCCACTTATCAGATTAAAGAAATTCTTTTTTATTCCTATTGTGCTAAGATTTTTTAAAAGTGTATAAGTTCAACTTTATTAAAAGCTTTTTCTGACTCTTTTGACATAGTCATAAGATTTTCTTTACTGAGTTAACATGATTGATTACACTTATTGAAATTTTCATGACCACCTAATCTTGCATTCTTGGTGAAAACACAAGTATGTATTCATTCTTGTTATTGCCAGATGTGATTTATGTTTATGATTAGGAATAAGTTGGCCTATATTTCTCTCTTCTTGTACTGTCTTGTCTTGTTTATGCTAGCCACATAAAATGAATTAGGGAGTGATCTGTCGTTTTAGTTCTTGAGAAGAGTTTGTATAAGATTGAGAAAACAATTTTTTTTTTTTTTGACATGTTAAGTAAATTGTGTGATCCTAGAGTTTTCTCTATGGGAAGATTGTTGACTACTGATACAATTTCTTTGCTTTTTTTTGACTCTTTAGTTTTTCTGTTTTCTGTTGAGTCAATGTTAATGTCATTTTTCTAGGAATTTGCCTGTTTTAGTTAAATTTTCAAATAACTTATTATCTTTATAATAGCTACAGCATCTGTACTGATACCCTTTTCTTCATTCCTGGTATTGGTTATTTGTACCTTTTGTATTTTTAATGTTTACTAATTTCACCGGAGCTTTTTACTTTGTTGATTTCTCTCTCCCTCTCTGTTGTATGTTTTCCATGTCATTTGTTTCTGTTCCTATTTTTCTTTTTCTTTTATGAACTTGTTTAGTTTTTTTTTTTTAATTTAAATTTTCATTTTGTTACTTTTGATTTGTATTGTTTGGTTTAATTTGCTTTTGATTTTTCTAACTTTTTGAGATGAATTCTTGGCTTATTACTATTCAGCCTTTCTTATTTCCTGATATATGCATTAAGGCTGTCAGTTGCCTTGTAATTATTGCATTAGCCATATCCAACAAATTTTGATATGTAGAATTTTTATTATCATTCAGTTGAAATATTTTCTATTGTTCATTATGACTTCTTTATTGCTCCATTGGTTATATCTAAGTGTATTTGTTAGTTTCCAAATATATAGAGTTTTCTACTTTTTAAATTGATTTCTAGCTCAGTTCCATTGATAAATGAACACACTCTGTCTTTTGAAGTATGTTGAGGCTTAAATGGTCATAGCTAAAAAAGTCATTGATAAATCCAGTGGGATAGCTGGTGATTTTATCTGGAGAGTGTCTGCTCCAGCCAGATTAGAAAGAAGTAGATTTTAGGTCTAAAATAAGAATGTTATTAATTAATATTGATGCCAGTAACTTATTTCTTTATTGACAGTCATGTTCTATTCACAGGAATGTGAATTGGACCCTTGTTGTGAAGCAAGTACTTGTAAGCTTCAGTCAGGTGCTGAATGTGCATATGGTGACTGTTGCAAAAACTGTTTGGTAAGGAGTTCCTCCTCCCTATTAGGAATAAAACATTGAAATAAGAAAAAAAATGTATGTATCAGAATTTGTTTTCTGAGATATCTAAGACAGCAGTTTTTATTATATGATTATAAGAAAAATTTAATGCCATGTGTTTGCAAATTTGCAGCATTTTTCTGTGAGAAATGATCTATTCGGACTTTTTTTCTGTGTGGAAAGGCATTATTTCTGCTTTTAAGAGTAATATGTGCTCATTATAAATAATTCATACAAAAGCAAGTATAGAAAACAAAAAGTGAAAGATGCCCTGTGTGAAAGAGTATGTTGATGTGTGTGTATGTATGTATATGTATGAGTGGATAAACACATATGCGTTTTTATTATCTGCTTTTGTCAGTAGGATGCTATGGACTTTTTCCATTCATGTAGTTTTATATGATTATGTAGTTAGTATGCCTTTGTATGGCTATACCATAATTTCTATCTAGTCAGCTAATGATGGACACTTAGACTGCCTCTAGTTTTTGTTTATGAATGGAATTTTTGAGACAGAATTATGCATATTAAACTTTTTGATACACATTTTATATGCTTTCCACAAGTATGCCAGTCTATACTTCTACCAACAGTATAATCAAATGCTCATTTCCTCATGCCATCATTGGTTGCTAGCAAGCTTTATAATCCTGGTTGGTTTGATAGGTGTTTTTCAGTCTTGTATTTTTATTTAATTTGCATTTCTTTTGGTTACCAATGAGGTTTTTTTTTTAAATTTTATTTCATATTTCATGACTTCTATGAATTGTCTGTTGGCCTTTTTGCATTTTTCTATTGGGTTATCTAACCTTTTGTTGTTTTTAGAATGCTTTGTAGATATAAATTATAAGTACCATGGTTTTAAATTTGATTAATTTAATGAAATTGTTATGATATTCCTGTTTAATTTGAAATTTATTACCCCTAGTTCCTTCCAGGAGGTACTTTATGCCGAGGAAAAAGCAATGAATGTGATGTTCCAGAGTATTGCAATGGTTCTTCTCAGTTCTGTCAGCCAGATGTTTTTATTCAGAATGGATATCCTTGCCAGAAAAACAAAGCCTATTGTTACAATGGCATGTGCCAGTATTATGATGCTCAGTGTCAAGTCATCTTTGGCTCAAGTAAGATAATTTGTAATTTATTACTTTGATTTTATTTATTTCTTACCTTAGTTTTTTAAGTAAAGAAAATAAAACATTATTGATAAAATTGAAGTACTCTTGGTTCTCCTCTCTACCTATCACTTCTCCTTCTTCCTTCTCTAGAGGCAGCCACGGTCACAAACTTGGTATGTATTCTTCAGTCAATGTGTTCTGCTTTTACTGTTTATCTCTATTTATCATTTCTCAATGCTGTATATAAACATTATCATTTTATAGTCTTAATAAATTCACATAAATCGTATAGGGTTCTACATGAGTCTGTTATTTGCATTGTTCACTCAAGATGCTTTTGAGATTCATCTATATTGATTCATTTAGATGTAGTTTATTAGGGTATTCCATTAGATAAATGGACCATGATTTGGTTATCCACTCTCTTACTGATATTAATTAAGATGTTTTTGTTGCTTTTCTGATTTTTCTTTTTAAAGTTTTCATTTTTACCAAAGTTACATGTACACATAGATTGAAGAGCCCAATTCTTGTGTAAGGTTTGCTATGAGAAAATAAAGCATACTTGTAACCAACATTCTCATCCCTTGAGGTAACCACTTTTACCTTTTCTGGCTGATTATTTTGTTACTTGCTCTGGGTCTTTAGATAATTTCTTGGTAATGCTACTTCTTGATTTTTCCATTAAAAAAGAAAAAAAAAAAAACCAAACCCACTACCGTCAAGTCGATTCTGACTCATGGTCTTTGTGACTATAGGACAGAGCAAACCAAAACAAAAACCAAACCCATTGCCGTTGAGTCAATTCTGACTCATAGCGACGCTATAGGACAGAGTAGAACTGCCCCATAAGGTTTCCAAGGAGCGGCTTGTGGATTCAAACTGCCGACCTTTTAGTTAGCAGCTTTAGCTCTCAACCACTATGCCCCAGGGCTCCCATCAACTATTAATTTCTCACTATAGAAGATGAAAATTTAGTTTTCTTTCCTTCTCTTCCCTCAACCCATGTCAACTATCATATCTAGGTTCATTTTCCATCCTCCATCGTCCTAATATGGATTAATTGTAATTTTAGTTCGATTAATGGTGACTATTTTTAATATAATGGCTACATTATTGCTGCTGACCACTGAGCTATGTAGTAAGTTATAATTGCCTTTTTCTTTTCCCTGGAGCTAATAATTGTCTCTTCTGTTCATATGTTTCCTTTGTTTTCTATGTACTCGCTACTAATTGAGCTGCAGATTGTTCACCAGTGGTCTAGTCTTGCCCTAAGGTGATTAGAAGCAGCAGGTATTCTATTAATTTCATCTGTCTGTTAATTTCATCTGTCTGAAGAAGTCTGACCTGGAGGCCCCTGATGCTCTTCAGTCGGTTGGTTGCCCTGTCTATGCTTCTACGTGCTCTCTAGACTCAGCTTTTACTTTGAGATCCCCTTTCATTATAATTCTGAGGTGACTTTGTCTCCCTCCTGTTTGAATCTCCCGTTTGCTATTTACCACATCTTCCTGTTGGTTAATTTCCTCTTTTACATGGAGCTCTTCCTTTAGTAGTTTCTTTAGAAAGGGTGCAGAAGTGGTAAATTTTTTTGATCCTGCAAGTCTGAAAATGTTTTTATTTTACCAAGATACTTAATTGATAGTTTAGCTGAGTTGGAAGTTATTTTTCTTCAATTTTGAAGCCATCGGTTCATTGTCTTCTGGTTTCCAGAGTTGCTGTTGAGAAATCTGAAGCCATTCTGATTCTTGTCTGTGGCCTTTTTTCCTCCTGTCTCTGGAAAAGCTTGAAAGATCATCTCTTCAAAATGTTGTGCTTTCATGTGGGTCTATATTTATCCATTGTGATGCGTACGTGGTGGGTGCATTCATTCTGGGAACTCATGTCTTTAGTTCTAGGAATTTTTCGTCTTCATATTTGTAATGGTTTCTTTTCCTGGAACACACATTATTTGGAAATTGGATTTCCCAGATTTTGAAAATCTTTTCTTTACTATCTTCCATCTTCTTTGTCTTTAGGCCCTACCTTCTGGGCAATTTCTTCAACTTTATCTTCTAATTCTTTTATTAAGTGTTTCATTTGAGGCATCATAGTTTTAGTTTTCATGAACTCTTCTGTGTTCTCTGTTTTCACACCTCTTTTTAAGAAATAATATTCTATCCTTGTTTCATGCAGAAACATCTACTATCATGTTTCTCAGTATAGTAATGATAAGTTTTCTTCTTCTTCTTTCTTTCAAGCTACCTTTTTATGTTTGTTTCAATTTTTGTCTTTCATATTTACAATTTTCCTCAGATGTCTGATAGTCCTTGGTCCAAGAGAAGAGGCTGAAGAACAGATGGATAAGTCATGGAGGAGGCATGTTATTGTAAACTTTCCTATAGAGTGATAATGGCTGAGTTTTTTAACTGGGGAAATGCCAAAATCCACATCTTCAGTTTTTTTCCTCTTGGGCTTATTAGATTCCCTGTGAAGACCTTATCTATCCAGCCTGGAGGATGAAGTCCTTGCTGCCAGCATTCTGGGAGTAGAGGAGGGAATAAGGCTGGGGATCTCAGCACTGGGTAGGCAAATGTTCCATTAATCTTCTTGTTTTTACCACACTTTTCCTGCTTTTAACTTTGTCTGGTATCTCTGAATCTTGAAACCCTGTGTTTTACTCCCTGTAGAGAATAAACCTCAAGTCTTTTGCCAGGGTAGAGAAGGGATAGTCACCTGGTTGGGTCATCTAGAGATCTGACTGCTTCTTAAATATATTTTAAACTGTTCTTCTTTATTTTAGCCATCTGTTCACCATTAATTCTGTATGTAGCAGCTTCTGATACTACCACTTTCTTATCTTTGGGGAATTCTATGATGTAAGTAAGGTTGATTTCAGCTTTCTTCACTACCAGCCTAGGATTCAGTTTTCTCAGATACGCTAAGTCATTTATTCCTTAACCATCTGCTTTTCAGCTTCTAAAAATTTGTGCTGTTTTCTCTCCTATTTTCCCTGCCTTGTGGGTTTACGAACTCAAAGAAGTCATTTTCTTTTATTAAGTGGGATATCAGGGGGCAGGGAAAACAAATTCATGTGTTTTAAACCTCTTATCTGAAGTCTACTGAGAGCTATGATTTTCAAATATATAGTCAATTAGTGCAGGTGTTACAGGTCTAGTTTTCATTCCTTTGAACTTTTGAACTTGTGGAGTTTGAGAATATAAGTTTTTCACTAGCTGGTACATTCTAAAATTCCTTGTTCTTCATAGTAAACACTAAATAAATACTTATAGAAGAAAAAAGAAGAATTTGAGATGGAACATACAAGAGAAGTTGTTAGCATTTATTATCAAGTTTGGGCCTTAAAACAACCTTGTGAAAAGCTAAGGTTCAGAGAAATAAGTGGTATTCCCAGGGTCACTAAGCCTTGGGCATGGTGAGCAAATGAAGACTCATTGCTCTAATTTTTTAAACACATCATTAAAAAGAAAATTCCATTGGTTTATTTTCTTAAATGGTAGATGGCACATGTGCTTAAAAATATTGAATATAGACAGATAAGCAAAAAGTAGAAAATAACTATTGCCTATACTCTCAATATCCCAGATTAGTAACTACTGTCAAATTTGATGAATATTTTTCAAATCTTTTTTAATGCATATACGAGTATGCATATATTATACAGAAATGGATTGGACTGATAATACTGCTTCCGAAACTGCTATTTTTTTCATAATTGACAATAAATTGTGAATACTTCTCCATGTCGTGAAGTATTTTCTAGAACATTGTATTAATGATGTACAATAATTTATTTATCCAATCAACAGTGTTGGTAGTGAATAATGTATATAGTTTAGTCTTTGCCCCAATCAATTTTTTCTTCAAGATAAATTCCCAGAAGTGGAATTGCTGTTTTAAAGGCTGTGTTGTTTAAAGGCTTTTGAGACATTCCAGATAATTTCTGGAAATATAATACCATTTTATACTCTCACTAACTGTGCTTCAGTGTGTTCAGTTTCTTCAACTATTTCCAGCACTGGGTGTTCTCATTTTTTTAAAAAAAGCACTGCTAATATAATTAACTTGCAACATATATTTTTGCTATCTTTAATATGTGTCTTAATTACTAGTGGGTTTGAGTGAATTTTTTTCATATTTATGTTGGCCATTTGTATTTTTTGTATATGTTTTGACTGTCTGTTTTTCATTTTTCTACTGAGATATTTATTCCTTAATGCTATTTTAGAAGTTTTTCTTTTTAAGTTTAAGGATATTGATCATTTTTCATATATTGCAAACATTGGTTCCCGTTTTATTCTTTATCTTTTAATTTTGGTTATGTTGTTTTCTTGACATAATTAAAATTTTTCTCATTTAATTTATCTTTTCATTTATAGTTTCTTCCTTTTGTGTTATGCTTAGAAATTCCTTCCCCTTACTCAAAGTATATAATTGGTCTTCTAGTATTCTTATGATTTAATTTTGCATAGTCAAGTCTTTAATTCTTCTGGGATTTTTGGAATGATTCTGTTTTCCTACCAATTTGAAATAACACTTTTATCAACATACCAAAACATCATGTATACTTGCATCCTTTTATGAAATTATTTGATGGGAAGTTCTGACTTTTAGTGTTACTCCATACTCCGTAGGCTAGAGTACATGCTACTAGGACTTCAGTGTAGCTAGAGCAGATGCTGCCCTTGAGGGACCTAGAAGAGATGAGGCAAGAGAGACTATTTCAAAAATTTGGACCCTATTGTCCAGGTTGCTAACCTTAACCTTTTTTTGGATGTGAATTCCAGGTTAAGATTTTCTGGTCTAGGTAGTAGGGAAACACTGAAGGATCTTAAGAATGGAAGTGACATATTAGATTTGTTTTGGGGATTTCTGGCAACATTGTGGAGAATAGTTTTGAGGGAGTAGAAAAGTATCAGGTAGCTTCTGTTTGGCAGTTCTAGTGAGAAGTGGTGGGGAGTTTACATGGTAGCACCTTTAGTCAGCCTTGATTACACATGGGTGCTAGCAGTGTTTCAACAGTGGTAGTCTTCATTGTGTTACATGGTTGGGTTTCCTTTCTTAGCTTTAGATGATTGAGGCTGCTCAGGGAAAAGGTTGCAATTCCATAGAAGTAGATCACTTTGACTAACACTTGGCAGTGATTGTTCATGCCAAAACCCTACTGGAATCCTGTTTTCCCATCTTTTTCTCTGTTTGTCTTGAGTCAATAGGAATAGCAACAACAACAACATTTTCAACTGAATGAAACATGTAAGTGCCATATGTTTGTTGAGGGTTGTCTTTAATAGAGGAGAGAGAATAGAGAGTTAATAATAGCTTTTCTGTTTCCCTTTAAAAGGCTACGGGAAACTATATTTATTACCTGTTAGGGTGTGGGACACTCAGTAGGTGATTAATACATATTAAATTAAGGAAGGAAGAAAGACCCAAATCCTCACTTTCCTTCTTCTGTTTTTATTTTTCATTTAGTTAAGAAGATCAGTGACTGGTATAGCACTGGATTTCTCTGAAGCCAGAGTTACTGATTTTGAACAGACTTCTGTGGTCCCTGGTTTCTGTGGTACTCCTCATCTTAAAGGGATAGGGGCTGAGGAGAGAAGACTGAGAAATAAGTGGGACAGCTTGTTGGGATAGGGTAGTGGACTTTCGTCAACTTCTGATATATTTCACGGGAATAGGCAGGTTATTCCAGACTAAAAAGTGATTACCGATTTTAATGAAGTAAATTTAATGTTTTTAGTGAAGTAAATACTATTATTTAGCAGAGATACTACTGTCATAGAGGACTGCGAAAAAGTCTAGGACTAAGGGAACTAGAATTGTTTTTTTCTTTGTAGATTATCTGGAATTTCTATAATTATTTCTGTTCTGTAGGAGGGCTTATGCTTTGCCATGTTACATTTATCCTGTACAGGTATTCTGAATTCATTTTTCATATTGCTCCATCCTCAATCTCTTTTTTGTTCCAACTCCTTTCACTCTGTTTTTTTTTTTTTTTTTTTTTTTTGATTAAACAGCATAGCACTAGATATGTAAGATAGGCAAGTGCATTGCCTTTATTAAAGAGGAAGTATTGGCATTTTGCTTTAAAAATATGTCCAAATAAAGTATTTTTAGGAATGTATGGAGTCCTTGGGGTAGTGCAAATGGTTAACATGCTTGGCTGCTAACTGAGTGTTTGGAGGTTTGAGGTCATTCAGATGCCTGGTGAAAAATTAGCCATTGAAAACCCTGTGGAGCACAGTTCTACTCTGATACACACATGGGGTTGCCATGATTTGGAGTCAACTTGCCGGCAACTGGTTTGGCTTTTTTTAATAATTAATTGGAAAAATTGAATATTAAATGATGAATGTATAAAGTATAGGAAAGCAAGAGTAAGTTAATATTTTGTCATTTGTCATGACTGTCAACCCTCTAATTAATAGGAATACCTCAACTAAGTATCCATATATAGTAAAAAACAAATAATAACAGCTGGTATGTTTTCATCAGCCCTTCCCAGCCTGATCTAACTGGTAGAGCAGTAGATATGTATTTGAGAGCAATGAGAATGAATATGCTGAAAATGGTACCATACTGTGCATGGTTTTCAATTTATTTATAATTCCATCTGTTTAATGACATTTATGTTAGGGCCTGAGTGTTTGAGGCCAGGCCAACTTTAAGTACAGTCTCAACTTTATGTTTTATTGTTAGGTATAAGTGTGGAACAAAAATGTTTTTTCTGTAAAGCCTGAAACTTTTTCAGAAGTGTTAAGGCAGTCATCCAGGTGTATGGACTGTCATAGGACACATTTTTATTTCTGAATTTAATTGACATTAATTTTTTTCTTTTTTTTTTTAATATTTCAGAAGCCAAGGCTGCCCCAAGAGATTGTTTCATTGATGTGAATTCTAAAGGTGACAGATTTGGCAATTGTGGTTTCTCTGGCAATGAATATAAGAAGTGTGCCACTGGGTAAGTGGAAGTGAGGTTATGAAGGAATAGGAAAGATTATAAGACCAGTCATGTCCAGGATTTTTTTATAACTCTTTGTAACTGTGACTTTCTCCACCTTAAATACCTATCTTTTCAAACTTACAATTTGGTTACACAAGATTTCAGAGAGATTCTGGTGTTAGGAACAGAAGTGGTAAAATAATTCATCCCTTTTCTAAAGCTGTCTATAATCTAGTCATTTTTAAAAATCTTCTTTGTTTGTCCTTGATCTACGATAAGAACCCCAACCAAACACCCTTTTCCTCTTTTACTTTCACTAAAACATCATTAAAGTTTCCTGCAAAATTAGTTCTGGACTTCATTATTTTCTTCTAGCTCTACATAATTTTAAAGTGGTGAATGAAGACTTTGTTTATGTAAGTAACATTTGCTTATTGTAAAAAATTAATAATATCAAAAAGTTTTAAATGAGAAAAAATTCATCATAGTCTCAATCCATATATATTCATTATTTTGGTGTAATTTCCTCCCTTTTTTTGTTTCTGTGCAGAATATGTACACACACTGCCACTTTACATGATCGGGTTTATTCTGTAATACTGTGCATTTTCTCTACCCTCTCCACCTCTTACACCACACCTCACCAGTTACGCTAAAGCAGCTGTAGTGAAACTGTGTTTGCTAAGAAGAAATAGCAACAGTGACCTCCCTGTCACTAAATCCAACAGATGTTTTTAGGTCTTCATCTTACTTGACCTTTAAGTAGCATTCAACTATATTGGTTTCTTTCCTGAAGAAAACTCTTCTTTGGGCTTTTATGTAGAACTTTCTTCTAGTATTTCTTCTATGTTTTGGATGCTCCTTTAATGTGTTTTTTTGTAGGCTCACTTTTCTCTACCTAGCCATTAAATGCTGGAGTTTTTCAAGAGCTCAGGCCTAGCGTCTCCTTTCTTTTCATTCTGTATTCTGTCCACATACGATTTTATTCTCTTCTGTGGCTTCATTTGCCATTTCTATGAGATGTTTCAGCCATACTGACCTCCATGTGGCCTTCTGCCATGGGGCTTCTGTACACCTTCAGCAGGACATGCTCCTCTCCCCCCTCTTAACCTAGTTAATTCCTGTTCATCCTCCAGATCTCAGTTCAAGTATGACTTCTCTAAGGAAGCCTTCCTCAACTTCCTTGACAAAGTCAGATAGCCTTCTTATGAGTGTTCCTAATGTTGTGTACTTCTTTTTCATAGAGTTTTATATATTGTACTTTCATTGTTGTTCAATTCAAAATATTTTCTAATTTAAATTGTGATTTCTGCATTGCTTCATGGATTATTAAAAATGGATTGCTTCATTTCCAAATATTTGGGTATATTCTGGTTATCTTTTTGGTTTCGATTTCAAGTTTAATTCCATTGAGGGTAGAGAATGTACTTTATATGATTTCATTTCTTTGCAAGTTTTTGAGATGTGCGTTATTATACTGGATATGACACATTTTGGTTAATGTAATGTTCCACATGCAACTGAAAAAATGCGTATTTTATAGCAGTTGGGTATGTTATTCTACAAATGTCAAGTTAATTAGTAGTCTTATTCAAATCGTTTATATCTTTGGTGTTTTTTTTTTTTTTGATGTTTGTTCTTTCAGTCCTGAGGGAGGCATGTTAAAATCTCTAGATGTGATTTTGAATTTGTCTGTTTCTCCTTTTAATCCTGTTAGTTTTTGCTCTGTATGTTTTGAGCTTATGTTATTAGGTGCATACTTATTTAGGATTGTTATGACCCTTTTATTGTTACAAAATGTTCTTTATCTCTAGAATATTCTTTTGTGGCATTTTTCACACCTTTATTTGTTCATGTAAATGCTTGGTTATTGCCTTTCTCACTGAACTGTAAGCTCGAGGTCAGCAGTTTATCTTCCATACCTAACATCATATCTAGCAAATAATATGTGCCTATTAAATATTTTTGAGTGGATGAATGAAGGAACATATGATATACCTAATGGGCAGAGAATTAATATAACTGATGGAATGAACTGACCTAAAACCTAGTGATAAGTAGATTAATGCAGAGTTGGAGTGAGCTTACAGACGTGTCTTGTCCTTGTCTTATTTTCATATTTTTATGAAAGTGTACGAACTACACTTATCACATTTATAAATTACTGGATAGCTGATTCAAAAACATTTCATAATAGTAATATAAGGACTTTGCTCTGCCACCTGTCCTCTCAGGCAATCATGTTGGAGCATCTGGGCTCACTGCCCACACAAGTGGATTTGATTACAAGGCCGGAAGCTTGCTGAACAGATGTTTCAGGGAATTATTCTTTTTTCTGCAGTAGTTGAACAGTTTGGATGGACTGTCTATATAGTTATGGCCCGATTTGCTTTTTCATGTTTGCTGATACTTCCTCCTTGGCTAATACTGATATTACCCCTCAAGTGGTTACCTGTTCAAGATTCAGGAACAAAAGACAAGAATCCAGGGGATAGAAAAATTAAGAGGCATGCTAAAAATAATTGATTGGAGTTTTTGTAGTTCAGCTTTACTACAGTATCCACTTTTGTCTGGCGTGAGATGAGCTAAATTGCTTTCCTGCCCAAAACATGAGTTAAAAACCACCTATGTTGTTATGACACAGCTATTGGTAGATTAAGTTATTTTTATGTTTCATTTCTAACCCAATTGGGTTTTGATCTATAAATAGTTTAGGCCTTCTTTTCATAATCTTGCTCTGAAATGGAGAACAGAAAACACAAGTCTGCAGTTTTTTTCAGGTCTAATAAATATGAAGAATAAATGGCCTCGTAAATGATAGTACAATTTAACTATCAAAGTTTTATAATTCATCAAGTAAACTGTTTAATATTTTCAATTAAAACTCATAGCACCAAAAAAAAAAAAAAATCGAAAATTTGAAGTTAAACTCTTAGGATTTGATTGCTGATTAAACCACTTAACATGTCTTAAACTCTGGGCAAGTTACTTTATTTACATACCTTATTTTTCTCCTCTGTAAAATGGGGATAATAATCGTATCTATTTCTAAAGTGTTGTTTTGAAGAATGAATGAATTTGATGTTAGTACTAACTAGAGTGTCTGGTTCATTGTAGCACCCTTCATCATCATTGTTATCATCATCACTATCTTTATTATCATCTTCCTCCTCATAGAAAATGTGTAAAATGTAGAAAAGTCTAAAGACAGTAATCAGACATGGTCCTACCATCCAGAGATACTCTCTTAAATTTTTACTATACTTCCTTCTCATGTGTATGTATGTATGCATATGTATATATGCATACATAAACATATATAAACATGCATATATATGTATACTCAGAGAGTCACATCTGTATATATAAACAAAAATGCATAGTATGATTTATACTGTTTTATAAATTGATGTATTCACTTTCATTATATTAAGAACATTTTGGGGGATGTACCAAGCTTCATTTAACTATTTCTTTATATTAGAAATTTAGATTGTTTTTATTAATTTTACATTTTAAACAAGGCTGTGATAAACACTGTTTCAATATTTCTTTCTCTAGTAGTTTCCTTAACAGATTTATCTTGGTCAAAAGATATGGATGGTTTTAAGGGTTTTCATAGATACTTGCAAATTGAACTTCAAAATGTTGAACTAGTTTTATGCTCCCATTATGCCCTCACCAGCTCAGGATATTATCTTACTTGTAAAGTGTTTTCCAATTTGTTATCTTAAATAGGTATTTTGCTTTTGTCTTAGATGAATTTGTAAATAATTATATAAATTGTTTTTGTGTTTAAAAAAATGTTTAAAGGGATACAGAGAAAATGTTGCTTCCACTCCAGTCCTCTTTTTCCCTGTTCCCACCCTAACCCCCAGGTAACTATTTCTTTTAGCTTCTTGTGTGTCCTTGCAGCAGTTCTTTATGCAAATATATAATCTTTTCCCCCCACTCTATTCTCATCCTCCTGTTGTGCAGGTTGCATACACTGTTCTGCATCTTGTGTTGTTCCCTTTCACTGAAACGAATACCTTCTCTCTCAGTGTGATCTATTTAAACTTTTTAAATGAAAAATTTCGAAATACAGAGGAGTAGAAAGAACAATATGATGAACGCCTATTTACCCTAGAGTAAAACATGGTTAATATTTTACCATATTTGCTTTTCTGTACTTTGGTGAACCATTTTTAAGTAACTTAAAGGCATTATGATACTTTACTCCTAAATTCTTCAGTATTCATCTCCAACAAATAAGGCTGTGTACAATATTATAACACCTAACAAAAATTAACAGTTTCCAAATATCATCTAATACCTGTTCAATATTAAAAGTTCCTTAGTTGCCCTCAGATTGTCTTTCTTAGCTAGCTTTTTTTCTACGTCAGGACTCAATCAAAGACCATACAGTGCATCTGGTTGTCATGTCAGTTAAATCACTTTTAATCTAAAACATCTTCTTTCACTTTATTTTTTTTTCAATCACATTGATCTGTGGGAATGACTGGGCCAGTAATCTTCTAGAATGGCCCATGTTCTGGATTTGTTTGATAATTTCTTCTCAATGTTGCTTAACTTGTCTCGAACAATATTTTCTTTAAATCAGAAGTTGAATCCAAGTCATAGTTAGATTCAGATTAAATATTTTTGACAAGAAAATGTCGTAAGTAGTATATCAGGAAGCAGAAAATGCCATGTTGTCTTGCTATTAGTGATACTAAGTGGCGATGACCAGATCTCGTTATTGTAAAGTTACGCTTTCCCCTTGCAGCTATCAGTGATGATTTTGTACCATATGAATATCCAGTTCCCCGCCAACATTTACCTCATGGTTTAGCATGCATTGATAATCCTTGCCTGAGGCAATTATTTTATTTGGCATTACCATAAATTTCTTTTATTAATAAATCAATGAACATCTCTTCTTAGCTTTGTTGGCTGTTTGCATTCCTTATTTTGTGAATTGCCTATTTAGGTCTTTGCCCAGTTTTTCTGTTGAAGTAGTTATCCTTTCAGACCAAACCTGTTGCAGTCAAGTCAATTCCGACTCATAGTGATTCTACAGAACAGAGTAGAAGAGTAGAACTGCCCCATAGGGCTTCCAAGGAGCAACTGAGGGATTCAGACTGCCAACCTTTTAGTTAGGAGCCGAGTTCTTAACCACTGTCCCACCAGGGCATACATATATGCGTACGTACGTGTGTATGTGTGTGTGTGTGTGTGTGTGTGTGTGTGTGTGTGTGTGTACTTTTTGGTTGGTTGTGTGTATATACACTGAACACATTTTATGTTTGCATTATCTTTCAACTTTTATAGGAATGCTTTGTGTGGAAAGCTTCAATGTGAGAATGTACAAGGCATGTCTGTATTTGGAGTTGTGCCTGCTATTATTCAAACCCACCATAGAGGCACAACATGTTGGGGTGTGGATTTCCAGCTAGGATCCGATGTTCCAGATCCTGGGATGGTGAATGAAGGCACACAATGTGGTGTTGGAAAGGTAATCAGAATGTTTTCTATTTACAAAGTAAACTTTAAATATTTGTTTTAATCTTTATATAAATTAAGTGACTGCTCTTTTTTGTTTGTAAAAGAATTTCATGTTTATTATAGAGATTTTGGAAAATACAAAGCTACCAAGAAGAAAATTAAGAACAACTATAATCCTACCATCCAGATTTCATCACTGAGAATCATATATTATAACCATATTTTATACTGTATAATATACTGTGCACAACTTCCTCCCCTGTCAATGTTCTATAATTTTGTAACCATCTTCCTGTTATTGGGACACTTAGATGATTTCCAGGATTTTGTGTGTGTACATATATGTGTGTGTGTACGTGTGTGTGTGTGTGTGTGACTAGAATTATGACAGTGCTTGTCCTGTCCATGTCCCTTTCTACCTTGGCCACAGTTGTTTGTATCACATGTGAGCGCAGAGTTAGCCAATCCATGACTTGTTTCCAGTGGTTTTATATAAGAAGATGAGCTGGGCCAGATTCCTTTTCCAGAAATATATGATTAGAAAGGTAATTAAGAAACAATATTTAGAACAAAGCAATAATCAAAATTCTACATATCAAAACTTGGGGGATGCAATTAATATAGTACTTAGGTGGAAATTTATAGCCATAATTTAACTTGAACTCAACTCAAGTTACAAAATAAAGCTTGGGTAAAACCAAGGAGAGTAGAAGAGTACAAAAGATACTTTGAGGGAGCAGGATTGTTGAGTAAGTAGAGGAAACGATCTCAGACAGAGAATAGAGGAAGCAAGAGAGAACACAATTGATGAATTATGTGGCCCCTGAAGAGATAGATAGGTGGACTGTGAAGTTATCTCAGTTTGCAGTTTCCATTCTGTTCCTCATTTCTCTTTACAAAAAGACTTATATTTTTGTGTGTGTTCTTACAACTAAATAAACTTGACCACTGCAGCTATTACAATAAATGCTGGGAGAAACAGCTTTATAAATACAAATTTCAGAACATCCCTTGATTGTTTTCTGAAGTTAAACTACTATAATGATGTATATACTTTTAAGATTTTAGGTATAGGTTTGTCAAATTGCTCTTTAGGAACGTTTTTACTTGTTTACCTTTGACAAGTGTTTTCATTTCTCCATACCGTTGCCAAGATTAGCTCTTATGTTTAAAACCTTCATTGGTGATTTCCTTTTTATTTCTGTTTTTTTAAATTTTATTTTAATATTTAATTAGTGATTTTGAAATTTTTTTGCCTATATTTCTTCTTTTGTGATTTGCTTGTTGATATTGTCTATTTTAAGATTAGGATGTTTTTCTTGTGGTTTGGAAGAACTTTAGTTATGTTATATATAATGTAATATATATAATATTTTTGCCCAGATTATTGCTTGCCTCTTAATTTTGTTTTTAGTATGTTTTGTCATGCAAGATATTTGTATTTTTATGTATTCTTATCTGTTATTCCTTTCCTTTTCAACTTACATATTTTGAAATACCTTTTTCAACATAGTATCAGATCATTATTCTCTTCTGTTTTGTGATATATTATTTGTTTCTTATTTTAATACTTGTCTTTGTAGTCCACTTGGAATATTTGTGTATGTATAATATGAGGTGGGCACATATTCTTTTTATTTCTTTTGTCATTTGTTTATTAAAAAATGATTACTATATGCCAAGTTCTAATGCTATCTTTTTCAGAATGGCTTATTGTTTGCCTTAACAATCTGAATTATAATCTTCTCTTTTAATTTGAAATCCCATCTGAATTATTCATTTAATTTTTACATATACTTGGATTTAGTCTTTTTTTTCCTTCCTTCATGTCCATTGATCTGTTGATTAACCATGTGTCTGTATTGCCCTGCCTTAATTTTGATAGTTTCATAATATCTTTTTAATTTCTGGTAGTACAAATCCCCCCTTATTCGTTTCTCATAGTTTCTCTGGCTATCTTTATTCATTTATCATCACAGATGAATTTGAGATCATTTTGTCAAGGTGCAATATTAAAAAAAAAAAAAAGGCCTTTTGGAATTTTGGTTGGGATGGCATTAAATTTATAATGGGGAAAACTGACTACTTTATTGAGTCTTCCCATAGAAGAACATGGTATGTCTCTCCATATTTTGGGGGGATCTTCTTTTAAAGATTTAGTTATAGAGGTCCTTTCTATTTTTTGTTAGTTTTATTTCTAGATATTTTATACTTTTATTGCTATTATGAATAGGCTTTTTTCTCATATTTTCTAATTTGTTATTGGTAAGAAAAGCTATTAGATTTATATGTTATGTATTTAACTTGTTATTATTGGTATTCAGAAAAAAATATCAATTTGTATTTTTTTTTTAGCAGCCGCATACTTAGTGTTCCGTATTTTTGTCGTTGATTATGTTAGAGTTTTCTAGGTAAATAGTCATCATCTATAAATGGTAAAATTTTGATTTCTTTCTGGTATTTTAATTCAGGTTTTTTTTTTTCCTTGTGTAATAGCAATGATGAAACTTTCAGAATAATTTTAAGTAATAATGATAGTGTTCATCTTTTCTTTGTCCCTAATTTGAGTGGGAATGAATCTAGCCTGCCAAGATTAAATATGATTTTGGCTATTGGCTTGAGATAGTATTTGTCATTTAAATGGTGTATCCTTTTAATCTTAATTAGTATGAACAAAAATGGATTTTAAATTTTACAAGTAGTTTTTTTTGACAGCCATTGAAATAATCATTTTTTCCCTTTGATCTATTGATATGGTTTATATTAATAAATTCCCTAACATTAAAGCATCTTTACATTTCTGGAACAAACACTGGCAATGTTATATTATTCCTTAGATATATTCCTGGATTCTATTTACTGATGATTGTACGTCTGTATATCTGAAGCTGTGTTCTTATGATATTTTTTGGAATGTATGAAATTTTATTCTGTAGATTATAGTTCGTACTCTTAAATCTCACAAAAACCCAGCTAAGACTGGATTAAAATACAAAAGGAAATTTAATGATCCAAAGCACAGAATCAAAAAGCTTTGGGAGTCAGAATCTCAGATAATATTCCTATGATTTTTTTCCTACCGTCTCTTTCAACTGTTTCTCTCTCAATGGCTCTATTTCCTTCTACTGCACGCAGACCTTTACCATATAGCAGGGAAGAACCCATCTCACATTTTTCCAGCACCCTGAGGTAGCTGGTTTATTTTTCCTACAGCTAGAAATGAAGACATCCTGGAAAAGGACTATAAGGCGAAGCTTGAAGAGCCGATTGTAAAGCTGAGAAGTAAAGCTGAATGATTGGTAGCACCTGATCTACATGCTTTACCACGAGCTTAACACTCTGCTTAAGCCAGGGCTGTGAAGGGGAGGTGTTAAGAAACTTTGCCATAAAAAAAGAAATGGGAAAGCTCTGGGTAGAAGATAAGCAAATAAGCAAATAAAACAAATAAACAAACAAAAATAATAGTCACAAAGACCGCTACAGTCAAGTCTTGTTATTACCTCTCTTTGTTTTCTGCACTTGCACATATCTGAGGTTAGGCGTTAGTGGGAGCCTCAAGAACGGACTTTTGTTTGTGGAGGAGGATAGTATTCATTTGTGCCTCTTCTCATGTAGCTTTCATTCTTGAGTTGTGTTTCCTACTCAGTGTTTTTTTTTTTTTTTTTAACTTCTCTCTCTCTCTTTCGATATCAGCATAAGTGAAAAATATTGGTCAATTACTACAGATTAATGAAATTTAGTGTAAAAAGGTGAATTGGAAAAAACAGAGTTTGGCAAAAGATGGTAGATAGCAATATTCATGTATCTTTCTTGCCCCAAACCTCTCAAAATATAAAGGAGCAAATAGGGAATAAGCCCTAAAGAGCAAAATGTAGGAGATTTCATCAGTAGATAAAGATTTCAACGCAGTTTTAAAAAGCGGAAGAGGATGAACAACAGTTTGACTAAGTAGTGGGACCTGCAACTTGAAGTGCAAATAGAGGGGACATGAACAAGAAAGAAGACTTGCAGAACCCTCAACAGACTCATGGTTTTAAGTACTGGGTACAGCTGAGTGGGATGAAGCATGGGACTGAAATGGATTAATCTTAGTCTACACATGGAGAGGCTAGCCTCTCAGCCTGCTTCTCCTACCCTGTCTACAAAACACCAGTGACGAGTTGCCTATTCCTCTAGATAGGAGACCAGAAGATAGACTTTGTGATATTATTTGATATTATTTTTAGTGGTGCTTGTATGAGATGCCTACCTCTGTATCCATTTACCCTTGTACACAGTTCCACTGAAGTACAGATGGACTATTATTTAAATTTGGACAATTCTCTGAGAAAGTTGAACAAAAAGAGACAGAAAAATATGAGAGAAAAGATAAGAGACTGAGAGGACCAGTTAATGAGTTCTAAAAGCCAGCTAATTGGGTTTAGAGAAAGAAAACAGAGAAAATGAATAATTTTGAAGTTTCAGAGTACTGGTGAAGACAAATCCTGGCAACAGCCAGAGACAAAAACACAAACCAAAACAAAAATAGGTTATATACAATGGAATGAGATTCAGAACTGAATTCTGAAAGACAGAGGAGCTATACTTCCACATTTCTGAAGGATTCTCAAATTCTCAAGAGTTCTTTACATAGCCAAAGTATCAATCAAATGAGAGGGTACAATGAAAACATTTCTGACATTCAGAGACTCAGGAAATTTATCTTTTGTTTATCCATTCTTAGGAAATCACCTAAAGGTAGTGTTCTAGCAAATGAGGATGTAACCAAAAAGAGGAAGAATTGTAGTACAAGAAACAGGAGACTGTCAAAGCGAAATTCCAAGATAACAGGCCAGGAGAGCAGTCAGTTTAGGCTGGAGTGAGAGGACCCTATAGGGAAGTTTCTAGAGAAAGAGGGAACTTGAAAGAGGCAATGACACAGTAGCCTTTTTGGGGGGGCAGGGAGAGAATATTGAGGATATAATCAAGGCCAATTGTGAAAAAAGAAAGACAAGTATTAGCTGTAGTAAA